TCCCAGACGCACTCCCCAGAGCAAGGCTTCAACACTCGCAAGCAGCTTTGCTCCATTTCCTTCTGCGAAGAGCACACCAGTGGTTTCCAAGCCCCGGCTTTGGAAACAGACAGCTATTAAAAGGCTTTGGTTGAATTAATTGAAAAAAAAAACCCTCCTTACGCTTGTCTGAGGATCGCAAAGTGCCATGTTTGTTACTGGAATTTCAATGATTCCACAGGAGACGTTCAAACCCCTGTGCAGAAATACATGTAAGCTGCAGTCATTTCAGGCTCACTCATCGCTGCCATGGATTATTGACCTACCATACATGACATTGGATTATAAACCTACCATACGACAATCTAGTCCTGTTTTGCAGGAGCTGAAAGGCCTTCCCAAGCAAAACCTTATTATTTTTTAGCTTAGAATCTCTTTTATTCATTTTTTCCTTAGGTCTCTCAATGACAAAGCCCCCCACTTCTCACATTGTAGTAAAAGACCTGCAAAAAACAGGGGTTGGACTAGATGACCTCTAGGGGTCCCTTCCAACCCAAACCAAAAATGATCCAGGGGCTGGAGCACCTCTCCTATTGAGCTGAGGGAGTTGGGCTGGTTCAGCCTGGAGAAGAGAAGGCTGCGGGGAGACCTGATTGCGGCCTTTCAGTACCTAAAGGGGGCCCATAGGAAAGATGGGGAAAATCTTTTTAGTAGGGCCAGCTGGGACAGGACAAGGGGTAATGGTTTTAAACTAAACCAGGGTAGGTTTAGACTAGATATAAGGAAGAAATTCTTTCCAATGAGGGTGGTGAAACCCTGGCAGGGGTTGCCCAGAGAGGGGGTGGAGGCCCCATCCCTGGGAACATTCCAGGCCAGGTTGGACGGGGCTGTGAGCAACCTGATCTAGTTAGCGGTGTCCCTGCTCCTGCAGGGGGGTTGGACTAGATGACCTCCAGGGGTCCCTTCCAACCCAAAACATTCTATGATTCTATGAAAACTAACAAACTGTGCATATAAAAGGCAAAAGCTGTCCTAGAAGTCTGTCTCTAAGCAGATAACAGTTATGTCAGTGAAGAACAAAACACAAGAATAGTGTTTGGCACATGTTACCTGCTGCATCTTCCCCTGGGGAGCATTGGTCCAGATCTGTGACGTTACCTGGAAAATAACTGTGCTTGGGTTGAAGGTAGAGGGTAGAGGGTTGAAGGTAGAGGGCTGAAGGTAGAGGGTAGAGGGTAGAGGGTTGAACTTGGGAGGCTCTAAGCACTTCTGGCGATAACAGAAGCTGTATTACTACATATTAAGCCTTGATCACAGTAAAACGTTTGCACTTACGTACCCAGAGACCATTCAAATCGTGACATGTCCAAGCGGTTCTTGATCTGAGAGCTGGAGCAGCTCCTGTGCCATAGTCTCTGGGACACAGCACGTGTACGCTGTGCTGACATTCATCTGTTTCCTTGTCCACCTGAGGATAGCTGACATTCATACTGATGCTATTCCACTGGTTCATATTTTCCCCTTTTTTTAAATATAAAAAAAAGCCAACCCTAAACCCCACCCCTACATTCACTTCTGTTCCACAGTATGACAAGGGGGGTGAATAGAGTATTTTTTACTGCAACTTCTCAGCCAAGTGAACACAAGAGAGAAGATCGCTATTCCAAGATATTTAATAAGAAGAAATTACAGATTGAAAGTCCTCTGGGCACATCAAACTTAGGTAATGCACGGCTCTAGAATGGGTCACTTCTTACAAACAGTATTACAATTTTTTTGCATTAGCGTCGACACGTTGGACTAACACAAACCACAAAATACTGAATCAGCTGCAACAGCTGGTGCTAAAACCCACAACAATAAAAAGTATGGCACGAAGAATGCCAAACTAAATGATGTGTAATTAGTATTTACTTTTGGCAATCCTGGTTTGGACTAATTCAGCGTAGAGATTTGTTCCCAGTCAGCACCAGGTTCGGTTAACATAGATTTTGTGCAAAGTGTACTTTTAAATTCACGAAATAATTAGTTGCGTAAACATATCTATCCTTCCTTTCACAGTAAAACAACGGTGATTTGGGTATCGGAAACAAAGAAGAGAACCCCAGACGATATTTTATTTCACAGTACGTAGTGTATGTATATATAATCACCATATTCAGCAAGTAGGTAAAGTGCATGCCAGTAACAACTTGGACCGTAAACGAAGCACTTGCAGTGCAAAAGTACACCTTACTCCAATACTAACAAACTAATATGAAGTAATACAAAACAAGGTAGAGCAAGATCTTGAAAACAACCAACCCTATGGGATTTACTGTACCTTTCTTCAAAAGGCAGGCTGAATCAGCCTGACACAGAAAAATTTCACATCAGCTATCAGTAGAATAAACAGTTCAAAGCTTCACTAGTTAAAAATATTGCACCGAAAGGGTTGTATTTGAAAGCAATCCAAGAAGAATTTTTTAATATAAAAACACGTAAAAAAAAAAAAAGACATTATTACAACAGCTACTTTGAACTAAAATAGCTGGTAAACTGTAGGAATTGATGAAATGCGAGTTCTCTGCCACAGGTGATAGATACATGGATTATCTGGAATCTCTCCTATGCAGTATCAACTACATTAGGAGGGGAAAAGGTCTCCACTGTCCTGTACTCTCCATGGAGCCAATTGTAAACTCAACAAAACCTACTAGACAGCTATCGACAGTATTCCCTTTTATTTTAGAAATGCAGGTCTACAAGAAGTTTTGAAATGCTTCACCACCAGTTAGTGCAAATAAATGAAAGCCAGAAGATAGATGGATGTACCACGACTATCAAATGTTATACAGGCGTCTACAGCTCCGACCACGAGCCCCTCGGGCTGTGAATCTGGAGTAGACACACAAAACCCACATGATGCTCCACACAACTCATGAAGTTCCCATTTAGAGAGCTGGAGACAAACGGTAGGGAAATCCTTGGGAAATGAAGGACAGGGAAGGAAAGGGACGAGAGACCTTCCACTAACATCCATCAGAGATGCAGCAGCCCAGATCCAACGTGGTATTCAGGGACCACACGGAGTGAACACTATGCCCACGATGCTCCGAGGACACCGCATCCCATGTCGGACTATTACCAAAAATATAAACCCACCGTGTGCAAGTGAGGGATACAAACAGCGAACTCCAAGAACTGAATCAATCTGCCCGTGAAGAAAATCACTTTCTCCACTCCAACATCAATTCCTTCAGGATGTGTGCAGTTTAAAGGGGAAAAATAGAACACGCAGAACCATGTAGATGCCCATCGAAGACAGGCAGTCTCTCTCTGGACAGCAGAAGCATGTATTTAACTTTGACACTTACTTTCTGTAAGTGACTTGAAGTAAGCAAAACATTTATCAAAGGGGGGAAAAAAAAACCCCAACATTTTCTCAAGAAGTAGATGTCTCTACCAATACATGCACATTAACTAACCTTCTTCTCTTGATTTCCCAGGACATGGCAACAGACAGCTGTGGCCACTAAGTCTTCATTACTCTCATAAAATTTCTGGGTACATTAAAAGCATGATTGAAACTATTAAAACTATTTGCTCAGGGAACACAAGGTTTTATCACCATCATTTGCTCACCTCAGCATTAACTTCCCCCCCCCAAGAAAAAGCCTCAATGACTCGCAGTTGGACATCTGGCCCTTAGTTCAGCTATTAACTATTTTCAAGAAAGACCTTGAGAGAGAATTAATAGGCTGTAATCATCTAAAGTAGTTGCATATGCAGTTCATTTCTCCTTCACTTCTTCCTTGCAGTTAAAAAAAATAAACCACTTTCAAAAGCAGCAACATAAAAAAGCACATAAAAGTTGATGCAGATTATATCACATCCCTTCGTATTTACAGATTTTCTGTAGTAAAGAATCCACTATCATTGTTTCACCGCAATTAAAAGTCTTGGCCTTTTTTAATCCTAAACCAGCCTTCAAACGTCATCCGAGCCTGGAAACATTTTCAAAACCCTCAGGAACTCGACAACAAGCAGCGTCGTATTCCAGACAATATTGCAAACACCTCCCACGCAACCGAAGCGTCTATTAAAGAAACAGCCTTGAGAAATACAGCTCCCCGATCCTCCTCTTCCTCACGACACCATCCCCGCCGGCTCCCGCGGGCGCTACGTTAGTTTCTTTATTCTGCGGTTCTGCTTGTCAATATTCAGCGTCGCGCGGTCGACGGAGGTAGTGATGGAATCGAGAGCTTCGTCCTGTCTCTCCAGCTCGGCTTCTGTCTCCAAGGCAAGGCCCTTCAGTTTCTTTAGTATCTGTCAGAAGAAAAGACCGAGAGCTTTCAGCGATCGACCAGCCGGTTCTTTGAGAAATGTATTAGTCCCACGGCAATCACTTATTTCAGTGCTTTAAATGACCAAATCGTTTGTTGGGAGTCTGCCCCGCAGCGTGCTGGTGAAAAGAGCAGCGGTCTTGCTCCGATAGCTGAATTGAGATGAACGAAACAATGAACGGAAGACCAGAAAAATCAAATCTGAAATGTTAGGGTTATGTGGGGGAGGAAGAGGGGGGTAAATCAGAAGTAAACATCAGCTTAAACATCAGCTTTTTGCTGGCTCTGTTACTATCTCCTTGGTATGTCTGCATCTTAGAGCAGCAGCTTGTCCCGAGATGCTGCACACACTGGGAGCTGACACGGAGAGCCCCGGCTGGTGCAAAGCCAGGCGGGGATCACGTGGCTGAAGGCGTAGCAAGGTTAGGCAGGGACCAGGTCAAAGGATAGAAAATGTTGTTTTACTACAAACCACTAAAGAAAGAAGTGTCGCTGGATGGAGCAGAAGGGAAAAAGTGAGAACTTGAGCAAGCAAACAAATAATTTTCAAGGAACTAGAGGGTGGTGTGGTATGAGCGGACATCAAGGCGGCCAAGAGGTTCAGGCTGTACCCGAGATGAGAAACAACAGATGCACTGGCTACAGCTCTATTCCAGGCTGCAAGCGTTATATTACATATCAACCGGTTTACTCTACACTTAGCAAATTACTGTTCGTATGTGGGACCGCAAGCAAACAGCCTGAGCTACTCCCAGGTTGCGAGGAGACCCTGTTCTCTGAAAATGCCTACAGCTACTGGTCCAAGCAGAGCAGAAGCCTCTAAAATAAAAGGAGAAAGTCAGGCTCACGCATTCTTAAGGCTAGGAGACATCCATAACACCACCATACACTGACTTATGGGGCCTACTCAACTTTAATTTTCATCAGTTCGCACAACCGAGCCCAAGAGCGGAGATCCAAACCACACAAGAAAAATCTGTCTCAGTTGCTTACCCTGTAAGACTGGCTCCTTTTAGCAGCAGCCCAAGGCAGGAGTTAATACCGTTGCCTTTTCTTCCCTCTTGTGGCTACTCCCTTAATAAGCCGGGTTGCAAGAACTGGAAGCACCTGCCCCACAGGCAAACCTCAGCTGCCTTCCCTCGGATGTGTCGGAGGGAGATCTGGAAGCACCACATCATGACGGGAAACGCAGCTTCTCTGTCGCTTCAGATCACAAGGATCAAAACGTCTCTGCTGGCCTATGTGAGCTGCTTCCTTAGGCATCCACAGATGGGGATACCCTCACGCTAACCTGCTTTTATCTGCTGTTTATCCAAACAATTGCAGTAACAGCCTCCAAGAAAGCAAATTATCCCAGCGCTATCCCACATCATCAACCGCCGCGGTACATGAGCGCCCAGGTAATGCTGCTGAGGATACCAGAACTGCAGCCTGACTACCAAAATAAATCTGTGCCCTTTGGTAAAACAGGGGAAAAGAACTCTATACATATTTATTATTATTTTTTTTTCATAACAACTGGTGAACTCCGTTTTCTTGTTTTCCTTTTAGAATATGTATCATCAGCCCCCAGAAAGCTGTTGTGAAACAGCAGCAGCCCCGTTATCCACATGTGGGGCTGAATTCCACAGCAGTCCCATCGTTTGCAGCTTTGAGAAAAGCAGCGAGGAATATCATACCTAGCCGGAATGGCAGGGGGATTTTACGCAGACAAAATGCTTTAACTAAAGCTGGACGTCAGCCACAGTAGTGAGATTTATCTCGTAAAATATCTCTCGGCTCTTTCCATAAATCACAGGCAGCTAGAGATACAGCTGTGTGATTAACTGGTTTTGCAATTTGGCTGCCAAAGCAAAAATACAAAACAAACCATGGATCAAGCTTAATCTACCTTTTTTTTTTTTTTTTTTTCTGTTCTTACCAAAACTACAAGCTAACCACCCCTCTGTTCCTATCCCAAATGAACCACTTGAGGTTCTTTCACTGTAACAGGAAAGCGCGGCTGAATTCCCCAAACTGGAGGTGGTAGATATGTGTAGGATATGCACCAAAAAGAAAAATTACGCAGTCAGATCTATCATGTGTATGATTCAGGACATGGGTCTGAAATAAAGTCTTGCCTCTCCTGAGGAAGTAACTTTACTACTTGGAAATGGGAAATTCCGAGGTGGCTCTCCCTCAGTCCTGCCTTTGAGGAGCTTCTGCAGGTATTTCACATATACAAACATCCGTATAAATACATAAAAAAAAGCAGCCAGTGCTGCCTGAAATGACTCCTACCATTCATAAACTCCCAGTATAATTAAGATTGGAAAAGACCTCTGAAGGTTTTCTGGTCCACTCCACCCAACTGAGAGAAGGGCCAGCTTCAATGTTCGGCTGAAAGAAGATTACAGGGTTTAAGCCTCCACTCCAATAAACTTTTAATTCTTTACCCCAGTAGTTTAAGAGAGAAGAGACCTCACTCCTCCAGTACATCCTAAAGGAGGGCAGTGAAAGCCATGTGCTTCATCACGTGCAGCTGATTTAAAGGTGGCCCACGCTAACATTTTTTTCAGCAAGTTTACTATAAAGTTTTATCCAAGAGCACCCCAAAACTTGCTTTCCAGTACAGCAGAATAAAAGCAGCAGCAGCTGCTGCTGTTTTCCAGATCATGGCTTGATCCATGCTCCAAAATGGTCCCTCTGGCCATTCAACACCTCCACCTTCTGCTGCAGCTAGGCGCACGCTTTCGGAGGTTTATCACCAGGCACCCTTAGCCCTGTGGTAAATTCAGCTTTCCTGAGCCACGTCCTCACCCAGCACAATACCTAAAGGGGGCCTATCAATACCTAAAGGGGGCCTATCAAGACCTAAAGGGGGCCTACAGGAAAGAGGGGGAAAATCTTTTTAGTAGGGCCAGCTGGGACAGGACAAGGGGGGATGGTTTTAAACTAAACCAGGGTAGGTTTAGACTGGATCTAAGGAAGAAATTCTTTACAATGAGGGTGGTGAAACCCTGGCAGGGGTTGCCCAGCGAGGGGGTGGAGGCCCCATCCCTGGAAGCATTCAAGGCCAGGTTGGACGGGGCTGTGAGCAACCTGATGTGGTTCAAGGTGTCCCTGCTCCTGCAGGGGGGTTGGACTAGATGACCTCTAGGGGTCCCTTCCAGCCCAAAACGTTCTATGATTCTATGATCTCAGTTGGTGAAATCCATTGGGGTCACCACATGCGGTAGACGTGGTGACACGCAGTGCAAGCTGCCGAGAACGCTACGCGGCAAAGCAGGGGCTGGCACCAAAGGATGCAGAATGGAAGCTGGGACACTCCTCCTTCCCCACCTCTCCAAAAGGCACCCAATTTATTTGTAAATTGTGCCAAAAAAAGGCCCAGGTTTGCCAGGAAAACAAGTTTATTTTTAGTTGCAAACCAGATTACTTTTGATAGGCTTCGCATTCATTAGAGCATACTTAACGTTTAAAACACAGAAAAAGACACAATTGTTGAGAACAGAAAAGCTTTTAAAATACGAAAGCAGTAAAATGGAAACTCAGTTGGCTACAGGGCCCCGCTCAGTTCACCTGCCAATTAGGCTCTGCCTTGAAACGCAGCGGGCGATGACGATGTGGTTACTCACACACAAAAATAAAAGGCAAGCGGCTCGCTTTCATCTGTTAATTCCCTTTGCCTAAGAGAGCCTGGTAATAAATCCCTTAACCCTTTGTCCGTCAGAACGTGTTCAAGCTGAGCGCTGCTACTCAATCCAATGGGACCTGAAATGGTTAAGATGCGTTTCCAGCACAGCCCACAGAGCTTGCTGGAAAAGAGTTACTGGAATCTGAAGCCTGGCCAAAGCTGGTGACTATTTTTGCAAAGCAAAACGATGGCAAGATGTCTAGTTATCACTGCTCCAGTTCTGTCAGCTGCTCAGAGCAGCAGTGCCTTCTGTGCCAGCACGTAATTTGGACGGTGAACCAAGACATGAAAAGTCAGCGTGAAACTGTATCTATGACACAAAGCCAAACAGCAGGTATGAGCCCATCAAAGACGCATTTTAAAGGCACATTTCCTCAGGCACTGGTCAATCTCACATTGAGACAGCCTCAGATTTATGCCACCGGAATATAATTTGGAAAGTCTGATTTATCCTCGGGGCTCTGCCACAGATTTGCTGTGCAACTTCAGGCAAGTTACCTAATATTCCCACGCACAGAGTTCTCGCTGTAAAAAAACAAGGAAGCAAATTTGTCACCGCTTTCCAAATCCGCCCTGTGTCAAGCGTTCAACTACAGCAGACGTGGGCCTTGCTGGGAGAAGAGATGTCCATCCAAGCTGTGTACCCCACGTTCTCGTGTAGGCTATGGGGACCTAGACGATGCCACACAGTTTAGGTCGTGATTCATCTGCTCTATTTTATGTACCTGCTTAAGCAGGAGTTCAAGCACTGCCTGCTCCTCTCTGCTTTGGCTCCAGTGTGAGCCGAGCAACCAGCTTAGCTGGAGACAGCCACAACATCGACACAAAGGGAATGATGGGAGAGGCCTCGAAGCCCATGAACCTGCCCAGTACTTAGTCCTATTACTTAATGGTTTTGCCATACCGCCTTGGAGACCTCAACTCAAAGTGTCAGGCACTGAAGATCTTACAACGGAGACCTCGGTGTGGGTTGGGTCCTAAGATGCCATCGTGATAATGCAATTTAGCTAAAGCTTGTGAAATATGACCTACCATCTCCATAGACTGAGTATCCAGCAGGAAAAATAAGACACGAAAAGTGTCATGGTGCAGGAAATATTGCCAAGTGCAGCTTGAAATCCCCCAAATCCTCCCTGAGATCCACTCCATTATCCCGGTGCAACTGAGGTCTGAATACCAAAGGAGAGCACATATAACCCAAAATATCTCCTGAACACAGCTTCCCCAGCCAAATTCACCCATTAGGAAACTAAGAACTGCCATTTGCAGTACTCTGAACTAGCGTGGAAACAGAGGTTTTGACAGTG